GGAAACCTTATTTATTGACCTTCCTCGACTGTCTCTGTGGAACAGTCTCTCAGAGCTATCTGAGATGCTGTCTCCCAGTTGCAGTCCTCATGTTGCCCCAAGTAAAACCTGACTTGCAGCTCTCACATTGTGCGTCTTTTTCTAGTCGACAGGTTATTGTGTTTTTTGTGTGGAAAGGACTTGGATTGTTGTGACTACAGGGAGCTAGTGTCCAAAAATAACCTTAAAAAGTCCTTTCTAACCTGTGGGTACACAGTGCTTTTCTCATGAGGAGCTTATGTCTCTGTCCTGCAATCTGTTGTGGATCTGTGACTGCTTTGACCAATAAAATTACGGAAGAATGGAGTTTCAGAACTTTAGAGTTAATGTTTAAAGAGTATGAGCAAGTCTAAGAGGCCAACATGAAGGAAAAGTGAGGCTGCTTGCTGGGCCTTGCTGACTCCTCCATGGCCAGCCCTGACCCTCCAGCCGCAGGAATGCGCCAAGTCTGAAGTCGCTAGAGCCCCTGTTTAGTGACTGTGATTCCAGAAGAGCAGATAGCTAGGGTGAGTCCCCACTACAGCTGCTCGTGTTGCAAAATAATGAGTAAATAAAGGGCTCCTTTTGTTTTCTCTGAATTTTGGCAATGGTTTGTGACATAGCAATGGATAACCTACACTAGAGGTAATTTTCTTCTCTGAGAATTTCACTTACTGTTAGAAATTCTCAACAATGATTTAAAAATGGAAAGCATTGATGACTAAGAGGGAAATGCAAACAGAACTAGATTTAAAAACAACTAGAGAATGGAAGCTGTTTGAGTATGTTACTAGAACAGAATAATTGTATGTTTTGGAGCTCTTAAATGTTAAATATGTGTTGTGTACTTATTCACTCAGTTGGGTCCGACTCTGTGACCCCGTGGATTGTAGCCCGCCAGGCTCCTCTGTCCATGGGATACTCCAGGCAAGAATACTGGAGTGGGTTGCCATTCTCTTCTCCAGGAGGTCTTCCCAACCCAGGGATCGAACTCAGTCTCCAGTATTGCAGACAGATTCTTTACCATCTGGGCCACCAGGGTAGCCCTGGTGTTGAATATAAAACAAATCATAAAATATAAATTTGATAAATTTGAGATGTGATTGATTTTAAAGGAAAAATCTTTGAAAAGTATGGAAAAGTATGTTATCATTTGAAAGAAAACACACTGAAAATATAATGTCCTGACAGTATGAAACACAAACCCAGAGGATGGAAGAGACTTGGATCCAGAACCGAGAGATTTTATTTTATTTTAGTGCATGTGGTTCTGTGCTAGTTCAAACTAGAATCTTATCAAAGCAAAATCTGTTCATTTTGATTATGCTTGTACTTGATTCTGCAATGATACTGAATCAACCAAGTGTTGAACTATGGGTACAGGGGTCGTTTTTAATTTTATACATTTGGATTAAGTAGAAGGTGAATGCAGCATCCCTGCTGCATAGAAGCTAAGATGTGTGAGGATTAATCTCACACTTCTGTACCCAGGCCAGGCCCAGAAGAATGTGAACATTTTGGCGGGAAACTGACACACACGTATCATTGGGGTGAGGAGGTGCTGCCTTTCATGACTTCATTGCGAAACATTTATTCTGGTTTTGTATGAGTGACATTCTCCAGATGAAACTCTAGGAATTTTTTTTAATAAAATCGCTCAGTTGTGTCCAACTCTTTGTGACCCCATGGACTCTACAGTCTATGGAATTCTCCTGGTCAACTTCCTGGAGTGGGTAGCCTTTCCCTTCTCCAGGGGATCTTTCCAACCAAGGGATCAAACCCAGGTCTCCTGCATTGCAGGAGGGTTCTTTATCAGCTGAGCCTCCAGGGAAGCCCAAGAATACTGAAGTGGGTAGCCTATCCCTTCTGCAGCAGATCTTCCTGACCCAGGAATCAAACTGGGGATCTCCTGCATTGCAGGCGGATTCTTTACCAGCTGAACTACCAGGGCAGCAAAGTAACTCTTGGAATGACCAATTTCCTTCTTGTCTTATTCTCCCCTTCTAGTTTCTTCAGACAGTGCAGAATAATTCAGTTCATAATTACCCTAATTTGGTGTAATTAAGAATTGCTGAGAACCATTGTCTTATGTAGACATGATCTTTGTCCCTGATTTCACAAACAGGCACTGCCTGCCAATTTGAGAGCTGAGAGGGGAATGTCTGTAGGGGCAGCCAGTATGTGGGAGGCCATGCACTCTCACACAGCAGCAAACTGTCCACCCTACTCACCTGGGCACCTGCCTCAAACGCTTCTGATTAAAGCTTGTCTTCTCTCCTGGACTCTGTACTGAGGATTTAGAATATTAATTTTGGCAAGAACTATGCCTATTTATATATCATGTGAGAGGGTAACAGGCAGGAAGGCCAGGGGTCTCCAAACTGAGGAAACAGGCTGCACGTGTCAGACATTCTTTCTCTTTCTCTTAAGTGGCAGGAGGAAACAAACTACTGGTGTTATATTTTCTCCCCTTCTCTATACAAATTTAAAAAGAGGTTTCTTTTAAAATTCTGTGTTGCCATGTCACCTGGTTCCACCTGTAGTTAACATTTCTCAAACCTTGAACTAACCAATACGTTTTTCTTATGGGAAATGTTTGTCTTAAGCTATGTTGATGAACTATGTATTTACCCTAGACTCTGTCTTCAAGAGAACATTTCATGCAAAGATGGGCTCAATAATGGGTAGAAATGGTATGGACCTAACAGAAGCAGAAGATATTAAGAAGAGGTGGCAAGAATACACAGAAGAACTATACAAAAAAGATCTTCACAACCCAGATAATCATGATGGTGTGATCACTCACCTAGAGCCCGACATGAATGTGGGCTGGAATGTGAAGTCAAGCAGGCCTTAGGAAGCATCACTACGAACAAAGCTAGTAGAGGTGATGGAATTCCAGTTGAGCTATTTCAAATCCTAAAAGCTGATGCTGTGAAAGTGCTGCACTCAATATGCCAGGAAATTTGGAAAACTCAGCAGTGGCCACAGGACTGGAAAAGGTGAGTTTTCATTCCAATCCCTAAGAAAGGCAAGGCCAAAGGATGTTCAAACTACCGCACAATTGCACTCATCTCACATACTAGCAAAGTAATGCTCAAAATTCTCCAAACCATGCTTCAACTGTATGTAAACAGTGAACTTCCAGATGTTCAAGCTGGTTTTAGAAAAGGCAGAGGAACCAGAGATCAAATTGCCAACATCTGCTGGATCATCGAAAAAGCACAAGAGTTCCAGAAAGACATTTATTTCTGCTTTATTGACTATGCCAAAACCTTTGACTATATGGATCACAATAAACTGTGGAAATTTCTGAAAGAGATGGGAATACCAGACCACCTGACCTGCCTCTTGAGAAATCTGTATGCAGGTCAGGAAGCAACAGCTAGAACTGGACATGGAACAACAGACTGGTTCCAAATAGGAAAAGGAGTACATCAAGGCTGTATATTGTCACCCTACTTATTTAACTTATATGTAGAGTACATCATGAGAAATACTGGGCTGGAAGAAGCACAAGCTGGAATCAAGATTGCCGGGAAAAATATCAATAACCTCAGATATGCAGATGACACCACCCTTATGGCAGAAAGTGAAGAAGAACTAAAGAGCCTCTTGATGAAAGTGAAAGAGGAGAGTGAAAAAGTTGGCTTAAAGCTCAACATTCAGAAAGCTAAGATCACGGCATCTGGTCCCATCACTTCATGGCAAATAGATGGGGAAACAGTTACAAACTTTATTTTTTTGAGCTCCAAAATCACTGCAGATGGTGACTGCAGCCATGAAATTAAAAGATATTTACTCCTTGGAAGGAAAGTTATGACCAACCTAGACAGCATATTAAAAAGCAGAGACAGTACTTTGCCAACAAAGGTCCATCTAGTCAAGGCTATGGTTTTTCCAGTAGTCATGTATGGATGTGAGAGTTGGACTATAAAGAAAGCTGAGCACTGAAGAACTGATGGTTTTGAACTGTGGTGCTAGAGAAGACTCTTGAGAGTCCCTTGGACCACAAAGAGATCCAACCAGTCCATCCTAAAGGAAATCAGTCCAGAATGTTTATTGGAAGGACTGATGTTGAAGCTGAAACTCCTATACTTTGGACATCTGATGCGAAGAACTGACTCATTTGAAAAGACCCTGATGCTGGGAAAGATTGAAGGCAAGAGGAGAAGGGGACGACAGAGGATGAGATGGTTGGATGGCATCACCGACTCAATGGACATGGGTTTGGGTGGACTCCAGGAGCTGGTGATGGACAGGGAGGCCTGGTGTGCTGCAGTCCATGGGATTGCAGAGTCGGACACAACTGAGCGACTGAACTGAACTGAACTGGTCTTCAAGTAGGTTCCACCTAAGACTCAGAACCAGTATGTTTTACTCATGCAAATATTCTTTTAAGCTATGTTAAAGAGACTGAATTTGCTTGGAAACCCACCTTTCTTTAAGATCCATGTCTATCATTTTATGGCCATTTTATGGACAACTTGCCTTGTTCCAATGTTAACTCAAACTGCATGTTGTGGTTGAGGGCCTGGTGCCAATCTCTGAGTTTTGAGACATTTCCTTTCTCTAATTAGCAGACTGCTAGTAGTTATATAACATCCGACTAAAGACTAGCAGGGGGCATTCTTTCTGCCCCTTACTGATGTCTATGTCAGAAGCTTTGTCTCTCTTTTATATATATATATTTTTTTTTCTCATTAAACTTTTTTTAATGCGTCTCAAATTCTGTGACAGATTTTTGGTCAAGTTGTTTTCATTAAAAAGTACTGATTTTAAAAACTAATAACTTAAACTGCCACACACAAAACTTATGGTCCACAAAAACATTCTCCTTTCCTTCTGAAGGTTTTACGATGCATTGTTATCATTAACCAGTCTTTTACTATTAAACTTAAATGGCCAATTGAGACAAACAGTTTTGAGACCGTTCTTCCACCACTGATTAAAGCTGGGGTGGCAGGTGTTGGGGATAATATTCATTTAGCCTTCTGAGCTTTCTGGGCAGACTTGGTGACCTTGCCAGCTCCAGCCGCCTTCTTGTCCACTGCCTTGATGACACCCACAGCGACTGTCTGTCTCATGTCATGCACAGCAAAACGGCCCAGGGGAGGATAATCAGAGAAGCTCTCGACACACCTGGGCTTGCCAGGAACCATATCAACAATGGCAGCGTCACCAGATTTCAAGAATCTAGGGCCATCTTCCAGCTTTTTCCCAGAACGACGATCAATCTTCTCCTTCAGCTCAGCAAACTTGCAAGCAATGTGAGCTGTGTGACAATCCACCAGAGGTGCATATCCAGCACTGATTTGGTCTGGATAATCACCTGAGCTGTGAAGCCAGCATCTTCCATGGGTGGATCATTTTTGCTGTCACCAGCCACATTGCCACGATGGACATCTTTGACAGACATGTTCTTGACATTGAAGCCCACATTGTCCCCAGGAAGGGCTTCACTCAATGTTTCATGGTGCATTTCTACAGACTTCACTTCAGTTGTTACATTGACTGGAGCAAAGGTGACCACCATGCCAGGTTTGAGAACACAGGGACAGTACCAATACCACCAATTTTATAGACATCCTGGAGAGGCAAACGCAAGGGTTTGTCAGTTGGGCAAGTTGGTGGCAGGATGCAATCCAGAGCTTCAAGCAGGGTGGTTCCACTGGCATTGTCGTCCTTTCCATCCCTTGAACCATGGCATGTTAGCACTTGGCTCCAGCATGTTGTCACCATTCCAGCCAGAAATTGGCACAAATGCTACTGTGTCTGGGTTGTAGCCAATTTTCTTAATGTAGGTGCTGAGTTCCTTAACAATTTCCTCATATCTCTTCTGGCTATAGGGTGGCTCAGTGGAATCCATTTTGTTAACTCCAGCAATTAGTTGTTTCACACCTAGAGTGTAAGCCAGTAGGGCATGCTCACGGGTCTGCCCATTCTTGGAGATACCTGCTTCAAATTCACCAACACCAGCAGCAACAATCAGGACAGCACAGTGAGCCTGGGATGTGCCTGTAATCGTGTTTTTGATGAAGTCTCTGTGTCCTGGGGCATCAATGATGGTAACATAGTACTTGCTGGTCTCAAATTTCCACAGGGAGATACCAATGGTGATACCACGCTCACGTTCAGCTTTCAGTTTGTCCAAGACCCAGGCATATTTGAAGGAGCCCTTTCCCATCTTGGCAGCCTCCTTCTCGAACTTCTCAACTGTTCTCTTGTCGATCCCGCCACATTTGTAGATCAGATGGCCAGTCGTGGTAGACTTCCCTGAATCTACATGCCCAATGACAACGATGTTGATGTGGGTCTTCTCCTTTCCCATTTTGGCTTAGGTTTAATGGTGGTTTTCACGACACCTGTGTCCTGGCGGCAAACCCGTTGTGAAAAAGCTCTCTTTTATATTTTAATACAACTTTATTACACAAAAGCTCTGAGCGATCAAGCCTCGTCACTGGCCCCGGAATGAATTCCTCTCCTCCGAAGGCCAAGAATCCCAGCATCTTTTGTGGTTCAGCAACAACCTTTCATCTTGGGGGCTTGTCTGAGATGCTTTAGGACAAGGTAAGGATGCTTGGAGCTCTAGTTCTTTGTTCTCCTAGCAAAGATGTTTTCTGCTGTACTTTACTAACTCTATGGTGTGCTTGTGTGAATGAATGACATGCCCCTCTCAAAGCAAGTGAGGAGCCCTGCTCTGTGGTTCTGTGGTGACCTCATATGGCTTATGGCAGAAACCCTGTTGGGGGGTTATACTGACCTGCCAATGCCAAGAGACACTCAACCTCCCTGCGAGGGGAGCAGCGAGAAATGGGCAGAGCGTGTGGAGCGAACTCTCATTTCTTGGTCAAACTTTCCAGTCTCTCTGACCATTTCTATAACTTCTTGGGAATTAGAACTACTAACTTAATCTGGCAAATCATAGACTTTTCAAGGGGCTGTTACAGTATACTGCTATTTAGGTCCCAAACTTAGACTGATAGTCAGGAAGCACCTAGCCCTGCTAGGAGTCAGAAGGTCACAAGCTAGATGGAGCTCTAGCTCTAAGAGCACCTTTCAGGTTACAGGTTACTCAGATAGGAAGTACATGGGCTCCTTCCTTTGGTGACAACTCTTAGTGGACCAGAGGAGGCTCTCAGTGGCTTTTGTCCCAACTCCTCAGGTATTCTTTCTGTGGAATCTGTGGGAATGAACTGGAAGGACCAGCCCTAATAACTTGAGGACAAAAATCACTTATTCTTCACTAGCCAGCCCTTCACCATCTCTTTATCTATCACTTATACTGGTGTGGTGATGCTCGGAAGGAACAAACATCTTGGTTTTATATTCATACTGGTCTTATTGTGGTCAGGAATATATTCAGGGTTGTGCACAGGCACTCAGGAGATGAATATTTCCCTCAGCGGTCTTAGCTTGGGAGGCCTTCTGGAACATTACTCTGATTGAACCCCAGGTGGCATCAGAGGCAAGCAAGATATTAATGGTGAGAAACTGGACACTAGTCTGGGATGAAATGAGGTCTACCCCTGCTGCATCTCCACCCTACCTTAGTGGTAGAACTGGGAGGGATGAATATGGCACCTGTGTCGGTAAGGGACAGACTAAGTCCGATCAGGGAAGGAAAGCTCTGGTTTAAGTCTGTCTACACCCCTATCTAGAGCAGGGAGGGACGCCTCCCTGGAGATGGCGCTGGTTGCTTTTTTTCTCTCTTACAGATGGGAGCTAACAATTCCAGCTTCACTCCTTTGAACTGTATCCTGGAAAACTGGGATAGATTTGATCCCCAGAACTTAGAGAAGAAACTCCTGATCTTCCTCTGTGATACTGCATGGCCACGGTGTCCATTGGAGGATGGTGAATGGTGGCTGGTTGGAGGGTCTCTTAATTATAATACTGTTTTACAATTAGACCGGTTCTGTAGAAAAAAAGGGAAATGGGTAGAAGTAGCATATGTGTTTCCCTTTATCTCTCTGCAAGACATGCCAGACTTGTGTCCTAAGGGTGCAGGTTTAGGTGTGAAACCTTCAGCCCCTTCCTGTCCTCTTACTTGCCCCTGTATCTGGGACTTCCAACTGAACAGGCTGAGAATCAACCCTTCTAGGAGGGATTGATTTCAAACAGTCCCAACTGTGGTCAAGACTATATCTATCTATCTAGATAGAAGTCTTTATGGGACTAACTTTATGACATTACTTGCAGAGATGTATGTCCCGGGACAGATGCTATCTCCTGACTCAAGAGCTCAAGTTTTGGGGAAAGTGGCTGCCTGTGGAGATGATTGGCTTGGTAATGAATCAGTAGGGAAGAAGGAGGATGAGATAGCCACCCTCCCCACTGGGAATCTGATGGTACCAACTATAGAACCAGATTGGGATGAAAACATGGCTAAAGTCAGATGTATACTTGAAGGACTCAGGCACACACATGCTAAGAGTTTAAACTATGACACATTGGCCAACATAGAACAGGAAGAGAAGGAACCTCCTGGTAAATTCCTAGATAGACCGAGAGAAGCCTTTCACAGATTCACTGAGATTGATCCTGAAAGTGAAGAGGGAAGAGTTCTAGCCTCCAGAACTGTGAGAAATAAATTTCTGTTGAAAGATATGAGAAAAGAGGAACAAAGATTATTGATGAAGGCTGGTTACAGTCTGAGGATGGACAGTTAATAATTCCTGGAAATGCTCAATGGAAAAGTTTTACTAAAGCCTTGAAATTAACTAATTATGTAACTCAGCTCTCAGCTCTTCAACAGGCATTAAAGGAACTCCAGGAGGTGACTCCTGACCCAGCCTCTGAGTCAAGCAAGCCTCTAGTTGAGCCAGGAACCAAGGTCCTGATAAAAACATTGGGATCTGGGGGTCAATCCCTCGAGCCCCTCTGAAGGCCCTTACAGGTTATCTTTCTTCTCCCACCACTGTCAAGGTGCCAGGGATTGATTCGTGGGTACACCACACTCGAGTTAAGAGGTGGCCCCCTGACTAGAACTCAGTGACGACACTCTATGTCTTTACTTTCTATGCTCTAACTTGGTACTTTTCAGATGGGCCTGATAATCTATGTGGGCCTGCTTCTGCTGACTCCAAAAATCCTGAATCTGCCATTTGATCCTGAAGACAATGCCTTCCTGTCCTGGGCTCACTCCTATGCTGAATTCCACAATTGGTCTAACTGCTGGGTCTGGGAGTGCTCCCTTCTTCATCAGTGGAAGATTTCCTGTAGTGCGCATCTCCACTTCAGAGAAAGGACTTTCTTCAAGTCTGTGGCTACCTTCGATAACAACAACCATATGTGATGCCTCTTATTAATCTGATGACATTTAAAAATCCTAAAATGGACTGATGCGACAATTTGTACTTTAACTGTGGATATAATGAGATTTTTAACTTTCCTTATTGTTCTGTTTTTGCTGTTTGTTTCCTGCATCTGTAACTGTGTAGCTGGATTTGTTTCTAGTCGCAGGAAGGCTTTTGAGTTACAAATGGTTGCTCAAACCATTTCCTGGTTCCAAAAAGGGAAAGGAATATGTCAAGGCTGTATAATGTCACCCTGCTTATTTAACTTATATGCAGAGTACATCATGAGAAGTGCTGGGCTAGATGAAGCACAAGCTGGAATCAAGATTGCTGGGAGAAATATCAATAACCTCAGATATACAGATGACACCATCCTTATGGAAGAAAGAGAAGAACTAAAGAGCCTCTTGATAAAGCTGAAAGAGGAGAGTGAAAAAGTTGGGTTAAAACTTAACATTAGGAAAATGAAGATCATGGCATCTGGCCCCATCACTTCATGGCAAATAGATGGGGAAACAGTGGAAGTAGTGACAGACTTTATTTTGGGGGGGCTCCAAAATCACTGCACATGGTGACTGCAGCCATGGAATTATAAGACATTTGCTCCTTGGAAGAAAAACTATGACCAACCTAGACAGCATATTAAAAAGCAGAGATATTACTTTGCCAACAAAGGTCCGGCTAGTCAAGGCTATGTTTTTTCCAGTAGTCATGTATGGATGTGAGGGTTGGACTATAAAGAAAGCTGAGCACTTAAGAATTGATGTTTTTGAACTGTGGTGTTGGAGAAGACTCTTGAGAGTCCCTTGGACTGCAAGGAGATCCAACCAGTCCATCCTAAAGGAAATCAGTTCTGAATATTCCTTGCAAAGACTGATGCTGAAGCCGAAGCTCCAATACTTTGGCCACCTGATACAAAGAGCTGACTCATTGGAAAAGACCCTGATGCTGGGAAAGGTTGAAGGCAGGAGGAGAAGGGGATGACAGAGGATGAGATGATTGCATGGCATCACCGACCCAATGGACATGAGTTTGAGCAAGCTCCAGGAGTTGGTGATAGACAGGGAAGCGTGGTGTGCTGCAGTCCATGAAGTGGCAAAGAGTCGGACACTACTGTGCAACTGAACTGATAGAAATTTATTTATATTTTTTTGCTTGTGAACAACAGAAATTTATTTCTCACAGTTCTGGAGGCTAGAGGTACAAGATCAGGGTAGCAGTATGGCCAGATTAGACCCTTTTCTTTTTTTCTTTTTAAATTAATTAATTAATTTATTTTACTTTACAACATTGTATTGGTTTTGCCATACATTGACTTCACTCTGCCATGGGTGCACATGTGTTCCCCATCCTGAACCCCACCTCCCACCTCCCTCCCCATCCCATCCCTCTGGATCATCCCAATGTATCAGCCCCAAGCACCCTGTATCATGAATCTAACCTGGACTGGCAATTCATTTCACATATGATAATTTAGATGTTTCAATGCCATTCTCCCATATCATCCCACCCTTGCCCTCTCCCACAGAGCCCAAAAGACTGTTCAATACATCTGTGTCTCTCTTGCTGTCTCGCATACAGGGTTATTGTTACCATCTTTCTAAATTCCATACATATGCGTTAGTATACTGTATTGGTGTTTTCCTTTCTGGCTTACTTCACTCTGTATAATGGGCTCCAGTTTCATCCATCTCATTAGAACTGATTCAAATGTATTCTTTTTAATGGCTGAGTAATATTCCATTGTGTATATGTACCACAGCTTTCTTATTCATACATCTGCTGATGGACATCTAGGTTGCTTCCATGTCCTATTATAAACAGTGCTGCGATGAACAGTGGGATACACGTGTCTCTTTCAATTTTGGTTTCCTCAGTGTGTATGCCTAGCAGTTGGATTGCTGGGTCATATGGCAGTTCTATTTCCAGTTTTTTAAGGAATCTCCACACTGTTCTCCATAGTGGCTGTACTAATTTGCATTCCCACCAACAGTGTAAGAGGGTTCCCTTTTCTCCACACCCTCTCCAGCAT